ACTCTGTCTCTGTTAGGGATTGTATGTTACAAAAACTCTAATAAGATCTTTGGGGGGGGGGGGCTGTACACTAGATTCTGATGGTTGTAGGAAGGTGATGTGGGGTTGGGAGTGAAACAGATGCCACCCAGACCCAGAAAAACAATCGTTGATACGGTGAACAAAAGGTGAAAAGTTTTCACTACAGATTAGTCAGATGGAGAAGATATTGCAAAAGGTGCAGTCCATTGTGAAGAGAATTCACAAAAACCAACCAGAGCAAAGAAGTCACCAGTCGTAGTCGTTGACTACGGGAAGCATATGAAAGAAGGTGAATGTCCACACAGAGAGAGAGAGAGAGAGAGAGAGAGAGAGAGAGAGAGAGAGAGAGAGAAGGCCCCAGAGAACACAGTCCTTCATGCAACATCTCTCGCTCACAAAGTGCTAACAACATTAAAGTACCAGGTGTGGCCTCAGGAGAGTCTCAGGAGAAACCCTGAATGATACAGACAGAAGACCATATACTCGGAGGATATCCTGAGGATTCAAATACATTACACAGGTAGATGGAGGGGCGGGGGGAGGAGGGGGGAGATTAGTCAGTAAGCACAAGTAAGCCCATGCTTATCGGGTAACCTGCCCCTGCAGGGGATGTTAATAACTAGTTGACGCTAAAAAGGATGTCTCTAACCACCATTCTAAGAAGCTAGAGAATGTTAGGTGTGAGAGGTATAAAAAGGGTAGGGTTTCGAAACCACCCTCACCCGTCGTAACGCCTGCCCTCTTTTCGGAACCTGGTGAACACTCCTTGCTTGTCCCACCTGATAAAAACTTCACTGTTCTCTGTGCATCTAGAACACATGCTGCAACATTTTACCCGGGTGCTTGCTTGTTTCCTCAGCTCATGAAATGTACTTTTTAATTTTTCCCTTCAAAGATTTTTTCCCTAGCAAAGTGTAATCTGGCATTTCAGTAGGACAGCCTTCTAATCAACATAATTCAAGCTGAGAAAAAGTTTTGACATTTAACCCAATTTGCTAAAATAAGACTTTCTGGCCTGTGTTACCGGCCTTTATCTTCTTGTATGCAGAAAGAATATATAACATGTCTATGGTTTAATTTCTGCAGTTGTTATTCATGCACTTATCTGACGCTTAGGATAGAAAGCGTAAGTAATGGCATCCACCTGATGTCTGTACCATCCAGCACATTTCATGAGCAGTCTGAAAGATGTTACACTCAATCTAAAGCTTTACATCTTGAAATCTCCTAACAGCTTATTTTTGTATTCAAAGGAAAATTGAACTTGGCATACAATAACAGAATCGTTTATGGAGTTGTCTTCAAGATGATGGTTGTGCTTCAATCTGATGTACAGTGAAAGACTGTCCCACCCCGTGCCAGCTGTGAATTAATCAAAGACATCCGAACTTGCCAGAGAGTGAAGTCCTTCCCAGGTTCGTGGTCAAAGCGGGGCAGAGAGATGAGACTGGCTCAGCGGGGTCATATTAGAGTTCAGAAAAAAGTAGAAATCTGCCCAGTTCATGTGGCTGCCTTTTTTCAAAGGGATTTTAAGTTTTAAGTCACATAACCTCAAACCAAACACACTGCCCTTGAGTTGCATCCAGCTTGCAGTGCCCCTATTTAGGGTTTCTCAAATTCCCAAGGAGCGACGGACGAATGGGGTTGAACCCCACATCTCGGGGTGAGCAGTTTATAGTTAATCCGACATTCCTCAAAAATTCAGGAGGACTCAGCTAATGCTCAAAAGCAAGTTGTTACCAGTTGTTTTTAAGAGAGGCTGTTTAAGGAGAGGAAAGGAAAGCTGCATTGTCTAACTGGACTGGCAGGAAGGGTTTGGTAAGCAGCATACAGTGCCCGATGTGGGAAGGATGCCAGGCAGCAGGTGCCACCTCCCGTCCTGCCGTGGAGTCTCAGCAACAGCCCCCTCCCACCCGGAAGAGTAACTCAAAAAGAACAACGTGGAAGCCCCCACCTTTCTGTTCCCTCTCCCGATCACTGAATAATACCATGCTCTCAGTCCTTTCCCAAAAGGATAATTTTCCTTGTTCTTTTATGGCTAAACTGTAAGAAAAGTGGGGTGTACAGCATGAAGGGTTAAGCTGATCTCTCACCTGGGTTAGAGATGACTGACTGAGTCAACAGCCTTTGGTTGAGGAACTTTTAACTGCTGGAGACGAGGCTGTTCTAGAACTAGGGATAGAGTAGTGATCAAAATACTGCCCTCAAGTGGATGAAGACAAAGGACTCAATTAATATAGCTCATGTAAACAGTATATGTGTTACGAAGAAGCAGCAACAACCACAGGGTAAGGGGTTTAGGAAGCGGTGAAGCAGAGAGAGATGGGGGACACCACTGCAGTAATATGCCAGCACAGACAGCAGGGAAACACAAAGCGAAGCGAAGCTCGCCGGTCGCTGGGATAAGTGGGTGTTCCAGGCGGAGGGAACAGAGACTGCAACCCTGGGAGGCTGGGAGGGAGTGCACAGGAGGCAACAGGGAGATGAGGGAGGCGGAATGGTCTCCCTGGGAGCTCTGTAGGTCATGGAGAACTGCTAACTGTAGAGTGATGCCATCTGAATGATATTTTAAAAGACCCCTCCAGCTGCATGGTATACAAAAGGGCAAGCCTAACACAAAGTAAACAGACAGGGTCCTCTTGCTCCTCACTACGCAATTCATGGTGGTTTGGTTGTTTTTTTTTTTAACAAAAAAGCTAGAGCTGCAGAGATGGAGAAGACAGCAAGAGGGGTACGGGGAAAGATCAAAAGGTGTGGTGTTGGACTTGTTAAGATCGAGAGACCATTAGACAGCTATTTAATAGAAGCTGGGTGCAAATCTCCTAATTTGGTAAAGAGACAGGGCAAGTTTCGTCAGTCTAAGTAGAGAATGACAGGCTGAGCTATAAAGATGTCTCCTACAAACGGTGCCCTCTGTCCACGACAATCATTTTTCCTTAATCGCAAGCACTAGAAACTATTTTGTTGATTCAAAACCTTAAATCTTGTGATTTGTTAATCTGCCATTATTTTGACCTGAAGTCATTTTATCTACATGTATGCTGTATCAATCTTCCCACTTTGATGGCTTGTGTATTCGGCAAGGGAGAGAGTACACATCTACGAGGATATAATAAAATGTCAGTGGTAGAGAAATTCCTGCCAATGTTGGTGGTGGTAAATATTATGAACTGGATTAATGTAAACTTTGAAATGAGGAAGTGGGTAAGGTCGTCCATATATATATTTAATGTGAACTTTTGTTCACGTTCTTCTTCAAGTGTCAGTCTATGATAAGGACATGCCCAGGTAATTACCAACTCTCCTCTTTGGACAGTGTGATTAAGATTTAAGCAGTGAAATAAACAATTCAAAGTAATAGTTCCCAGAAGTGAAAACATTTAGTTTCATCAGTAAGAGCACCTTAATTAACATGGAGATTAAGTTAAAAATCTAGTACTAGATTATTTTATAGTCTACTCAGGTCTGATGAGTCACTCACTCAATGGAAATGCTCCTAGAGTTAAAACAAAACAATATCTGTGTTTTCAGTATGTACCTCATTCCACCCAAACACACATACATGTACATTATTGAGCTTTAAGTATAGGTTTTAGAGCACAGGCTCTTACAGAAACTGGGTTAAGACTGATAGCAATCAAATCACATGAAAGATATTACAAGATTTAATGATCGGAACCATCTTCCCAGGACTCATTCAGGGCACAATATTTGTTGGGCAGCATTTAGTGGGGAATCAAAAAGCTGAGAGTTTAGGCTGGATCTTGCCCTTAGTCTGCTGTGGTCTTAGGCGACATGCTTTATTTCTCTGGCTTTATTTCCCACATCTGAAAAATGAGGTGGTGAGAAGCCCTTCCTAAGTTTCACTTCCAGCTCTACATTTCTGTGACTCTGTGATCACAATCGCTAACACATGTTGCGGGGCCTTGAAAGAGAAAAGCAGTTTAGTCAGCACTTCCTACATCATCGCTAACAGGATCTTCAAAGTATTCCCAGAGTGCTCTCTTTGTATTCTTCCTACTTCAGAGATGAAGAAAGGGAGGCACAGAGAGGGTAAGTCCTGTGTCTTAGTCACACAGCTAGAAAGCGGAAGAGCAAGGATACACAGGCAGGCAATTTAGCGCTCAAGTACCACTCCTTGAGAACAACGCCACTATAAGTCAGAACTGACTTGAGAGCAGTGGGTTTTGTGTTTTGGGGTCAGGCCACGTCTTGTGCTAATGACATGTTATCAACAGACAGAAGGCACAGATCTGTAGAAATGTTCTTTTCCAAAATTTCAGACGGTTAAAGATACCTGTATCTAGTCAACCTCTGTTCTCTGTGCATGGTCAGCAGGCATTTCTGGTGGCCGCCATTAGCTGTATGTGGCTATTCAGCATCCGAATTGAAAATACACATCATTATTGAAGTCTTAATATGATCAGAAGAGTCTAAAATCTCATGCATAATTATGATGTTTTAGGACATTAGGTTGAACCAGGCGAGCCCTGGGGGCACAGTGCAGGGACAGACTCAGACACTCACCGGGCAGTTGTTCGACCCTGTCCAATGGGGCTGCTAGGAGTCAGCACTGACTTGATGGCAGTGAGAGGTTGAATAAAAGAGATTGCTGAGAATAAATTTCACTTGCTTCTTTTTGACTTCATCAACATGATTTGTAGAAATATTTAAATGATATATTTGGCTCAGGTAATAGCTAAGGTTTATGTCACCTTGGCTGGGCCAGGATTCTCAGTGGTTGGACATTTAAGATGTAATAATCTCCCATGTTCCAATATAGTGTCATCATTTCTATGATGAGAGCTGCTAGGGGCAGTCTCCTTGGGGGTGTGGTCTTCCTCCAATACATGAGGACACATTAGAAATGCTGGCTTGCTTTTTTTGTTTTTACCATCTGTATTAACAACATTTTGCAAAATAAGTTATGTGTATATAATAGGTAGGAAGGAGGGAGCAGGCTGTTAATCTGAGGTTACCTTAGTTACTTCTGGATTTTCAGACACCATGTAAGTGAAACTGATGTTGACCAGATCCGTCCCACTGCAGACGCACACGATTCGCCCTTCCAGGTCATTTTCTGACTTTCCAACAACTTCAAGGGCAGCCAGGATTTTGGGGTCCTGTACAAAGGTTTAAAATACAGGGACGAGATGTTAGGTCACAGAGCACAAAGGAAAAACAGTAAAAAGGAAACACAGATTTAGATATTAACATATATGGGACAAATGCTTTCTCTTTAAGATATCTTGCATGAGGCTGGCTAGACCAGAGGAGGTACACTGATACACATAGGAACTGAAAATACAGGGAATCCAGGGCAGATGAGCCCTACAGGACCAGTGGTGTGAGTGGCGAAACAGGGAGGGTGGAGGGAGAGTGGGTAGGAAAGAGGGAACCGATTATAAGGAACTATATGTGACCTCCTCCCTGGGGGACAGACAACCGAAAAGTGGGTGAAGGAAGACGTCAGACAGGGCAAGATATGACAAAATACCCATTTATAAACTATCAAGGGCTCATGAGGGAGGGGGGAGCGGGGAGGGAGGGGAAAAATGAGGACCTAATGTCGGGGGTTTAAGTGGAGAGAAAATGTTTTGAGAATGAAGTACAAATGCGCTTTACACAATTGATGTGTGTATGGATTGTGATGAGTTGTACGAGCCCCTAATAAAATGTTTTTTTAAAAAAAGATATCTTGCATGTTTCTAGAACTTTTGGAAGCTAAATCTGTAACATTGCATATTACTTAGTACTGTTTTAAAGAAAGATATTGTGACATCATTGATTATGGATTAGGATAACGGGGTAACATCCACCTGGGTCCACAACGAGGGAAGGGGGTCTTCCACTGCAGAGGACAGTTGATGAGGTTTCCCACAGATAACTGGGACAAGCAAGCCATTACCATTACCAGGAATCACAGGTTAAGTTCAAAAGTAGCCTTAACCCTAACCTTCAAGCCTTAATCCTTCAAGTAGCCTGGATTGCAAAGAGTGAAAATTTTCATGTCTAAAAGGGTTGGTGTCCTCCATTGGAATGAAAGCGACACAAAATTACCTTAATTAGAAAATAAAATCATGTCTCTGCTCTCCAAAAGAACTCAAGGTGATACTGCCAACATAGAGTTACACAGAGAACTTAACTCCGATAAAAGATGACAGCTTAAACACACACAAACAAAATCAAAATGAGAAATATTATTTTGTTTGGAGCCTCTAAAAACCTGTAGTTCTATTATGAAAATGGGTATAAATATTGTGCCGAGATATCTGAAAAGGAAACATTCTTTGCACCACTATGCAAAAATCTTTTTCAAGCCAATCAATCACTGTGAAGAACGCTAATGTATGGGCTCCATCACTTGTTCCCCTCTCTCTCAGTGGCAAACTGAGCCTTCAAGGTGAGCCAAGGTTGGCAGATACACAAATAGGGTAATAACTAAGCTATTTACATTTCACATCCACCACAAACTAGAAGTGAATCAAGGGGCTTTGGCTTTGGTTAGGGTTTTGGTTAAGGCTGCTGTTAGACTTAGGGTTAGGGTTGACATGAGACTTAGGTTTAGAGTTAGGGTTAGGGTTGGGTTAGTTTTTAGATTTAGGATTTGGCTTAAGGTTAGGGTTAGGCCTAGAGTTGGTATTAGACTTAGGTTTAGGATTAGGGTTGAAGTTAGGCTTAAAGTTACGGTTAGGGTAAAGTAAGGGTTAGGTTTAGAATTAGAGTTAGGGTAAGGGTTAGTGTTATGGTTAGAGTTAGTTTTAGGCTTAGAATTAGGGAATTGGGAACTTAGAATTAGGGAATCAGTGAAGGGAAATGTTTCTTTGATTCAGTTAGATCTCATACAAGGTTTTCAAAGATTCATAACATTTTAAATATAGCTATATGTAAAGCAATCTAATTCACTCAACTATGGGAAAGAGGATTTCTACACCATAGCTCTCTTTAGTTGACATCTGATGATCTTTGGAGAAGTGGTGGGTTACATGGTTTCTGAGGACCACTTCCCACCTAGGTAAACCATGTTTAGAAGAACAGCAGACAGGGATCACTGGTACCTTGGGTGTGGCTCCCAGCCGAATACTGTTGATGAGCGAGCATTCCAGCACCTGTCCTTCCTGAGAGAGAGAAGGCAACACAGCAAGTGAGCTGAAGTTCTGCCAGACCTGCAGCCCAGACAAGGTGCATAACGAGGTTTGTGATGAGGACTTGAAATCGTGATGAGAATAAGGTAGATCAATCCTCTACTGCCATCGACTCGATTACGATTCATAGCAACCCTGTAGGACATGCTTCTTAGGGTTCTAAGACGAAATTTTTATGGGAGCAGAGTGCCTCATTGTTCTCCCAGGATCCTTTGGCCCACCGGCCTTGTGGTTAAAGCACTGTGCTTAACCCACAGGGCCACCAAAGCTCTTGAGTAAGGTAGAAGTAATGAATAAATAACAGCAATAATTTCCAACCATTAAAAACAATCATGACCCCAAGCATCGCATTTAAATATGCATATATGGTAACTTTGAATAATTACTTTAACATGTTAATTTTTACATAGATCATTAATCATGTCTGTATTACATGAAATATGTGTGTGTGCCTTGCAAATATCAAGTGGGACTAATGCTAACTGACTCATACATGCTTTTTATTCCACTTTCATAATTCAACTCAACTACACATGTTGTCATCAGGCATTGAGTTAAGGGTACACTCTTAATGCACCTTTAGACTTCCCCTTGAACAACTCCCTTTTCTGGAAACCCTTTTAACTCTCAGGATTAAATCAGGCACACCTGCTTTAGCCTCTTGTAACTGCCTACTGCTTGAAGTTTTCTTTAACAACATTGAATTATTTGTAACTGTTTTCCTCTTTTTTTCTTTCTAGATGCTTGACTTTGAGCCTAAGGTGGAATCTCTGAGGGACAGGAAAATGCTCCTGATCCCCACCACATCCCCAGCGCGGGGCACAGGGAAACACGTCTTCCCTCTCTTGAAAGATTTAATGAACAAGCCTATATCCATGCCCTACCAGAGACTTGATCATATTGAGAAATAAAAGCAGCTTAAATCAGACAGCAGATAATGACTTGCTGTTTCTCTGCCATACCTTGCCTTCGCTTTTCCAAGTCAGAAAGAAGCCAAATTCATCCACTTTGAAGAGGCAGTTGGGTTCAAACACAAAGGATTCCTGTTAAACAGAAAGGTGGTGTTGATCTCTATGACTCATACATACCATTCCGATGCAATGAGAATGCAAATACCTTCTAGCCTTTAACCAAGAGAAAATAAGAACTTACCCTTTGGAATTCTGAATCTAATGACTGTATCTCCTATTATATATATATTTTTAATCGTTTTATTGGGGGCTCATATGACTCTTATCACAATCCATACATACATCAATTGTGTAAAACACATTTGTACATTCATTGCCCTCATCATTCTCAAAACATTGCTCTCCACTTAAGCCCCCGGCATCAGGTCCTCATTTTTTCCCCTTCCTTCCCCCTCCCCCCTGAGCCCTTGATAATTTATACATTATTATTTTGTCATATCTTGCCCTGTCCGACGTCTCCCTTCACCCACTTTTCTGTAGTCCGTCCCGCAGGGAGGAGGTCACATATAGTTCCTTGTAACCAGTTCTCATCTCCTATTATATCTATTATATTACAGAAACACTTTATCTTAATTTTTGAATTGAGAGGCTGATCCACCTTATAGAGCATCGTCTACAGGGAGGGTTTAAGAACAAAATGCATTGATCTGGAAAGTCACAGGTAAGAACAATTCTCCAGGATCTGGAAGAGCAGCTGAAAGACTCCCAAGCTATAGTCAATTGATCCCCCCCACCCCCACAAGAAGAATTGCCCTCATTCGCACTCTTGTCAAAAACCAGATTTTTTTAATGTCACCGTTTTTTTGTTGGTTTTGTTTTTTGTTTGCCTGTATAATTCAGCATTCACATGTGTAGTCTGGAGATTGCTGATACTTTTGCTTTTATGACCAACCTCATGTCATGTCTCGTAAACCAACGCTTGAGTGCTCTTTGGGCTCATCAAAATGGAGTTCCTGGACCAGCAGCTTCAACATCTGAATTGCAGAACCTTGAGTCCAGCCCACAGGAGCCCTGATGGCACAGTGGTTAAGTTTTCAGCTACTCCCAGAAAGGCCAAAAGGTTCATGGTAGAAAAGGCCTGCAGATCAGCTCCTATCAAGATTACAGCGTAGGAAATTTTGGGGAGTAATTTGATCCTATCACCTAGGGTCAAACAGATGAAAAATTGCCCAACGGATTCCTGATTTTTATTAAGAAAGTGCCATTATAGTTAGTCAAGTTGTCCTTCCCCAGGGACTGGTTTCTCTTGACCACTTGGCCAATGTGTGTGAGATGAAGTCTCGCCTCTAAGGAACACTCTAGCTGTACGTCTTCCAAGACAGATTTGTTTTGTCCTTTTAGCAGCCAATGGCACTTTCAATATTCTTCAGGACTACTGGTCAAACACATTGATTCTTCTTCAGTCTTATTTAATGTCCCACTTTCACATGCATATGAGGCAACTGAAAATACTATGAAGATATATTTCAATGTTAAGTATTAAGGTAGCAGAGGGCATTGGGTCTCTACTCAAATATTCAATGCAAGAACTCTTTGCCAAAATAAAATTCTGTGATGCTCACCTTCCCAACACAATTGATCGCTGAAGTCAAAATAGATGCATAAGTTAAGGTGGTGAAGAAAGCTGATGGTGCCCAGCTATTAAAAGATATAGTGTCTGGGGTCTTACAGGCTTGAAAATAGACAAGCGGCCATCTAGCAGGGGAGCAACAAAGCCCACATAGAAGAAGCACACCAGCCTGTGTGATCACGAGGTGTTGACGGGATCAGGTATCAGGCATCAGAAGGCCCAAAACAAATATATCAATGCAAGTGACGGGGGTCAGAGTGGAGACCCAAAGCCCATCTGGAGACAATTGGACATTCCCTCACAGAAGGGTCAGAAGGAAAGAAAGAGACAGCCAGGGTGCAGCACAGCACTGACAGAACACAAAACATTTCTCTAGTTCACTAATGCTTCCCAACCCCACCCCCCACTATCATGAGCCCACTTCTACCTTACAAATCTGGCTAGACTGGATCATGTATACTGGTACAGATAAAAGTTCTCAACACATGGAATCCAGGACAGATAAATCCCCTCAGGAACAGTAATGGGAGTAGCGCTACCAAGAGGGTAGGGGGGAGGGGGGT